TCTTCGTCTTCAACTGACATTCCAGTGCAAGGTGAACCAAAGACATATCCTAGTCCAGCAGCAAAGCGAAAGACTGTTAGATTTAAGATGTAATTCGCGCAACATTACGCTAAGCAAACCAATATGTACAACTTTTGTTTGTTTCATCTATTCTTATGTTTGTTATTCTCATTCTAGCGATATCTTAGCCAGTATTTCTTTCTTTAACGTTTACACTAGGAGGGGAGTACTGTGGCGTTGCGAGCGTTAGTTGCGGCGCTGCGAACGTTAGCTGCGGCGCTGCGCGCGTGCGTCGCGACGCTGATACGGTCGTTCTTTCCATGACTCTTCCCATTCTCTCTCCGGCGTCATGGCGTGCCGCGTGCAGACCTCGTGTAAGTCTCTGCGATAGTCAGTAAGTTAGAACTCGGACGTTAAAGCTCCGAATTACTTTGTGTATTCCGCGAGGCCGATACCGATCATTATTCATGTCCGCGATAATTATTAGCGTCGTCAGATAAATTCTTAGAGTGTATTTTCATAGTTCTAGTATTGTAACTCCGCGACACGATGCCGGTATCCGAGCCGACTTACACGCGCAATCACGTCTCTACTTTTTAATCAACATTTGTATTCAGTATTTAGTTAATTAGGCATTAAGTGTGTATTAAAACGCCTCATGGCATAAAATCAGAAGCAGTGCGTAACTTTTTCCCGCCATACGTCCTTCGCCGTGGTTGGTAACCACCGGCGCCATATTGCGTAGCACGCGATCCAATAGCCACAGTCTTCCTACCATTGGTGCCATCTAACGGCTGCTGCTGTGAACTCTTCGCTCTTCCTTCTTCTCCAGATTGCTCTGTCTTCCGCCTAACCTAGCGGCTTTCCCGAACCTTCTCAGGTCTTTTATTCCCTCGGATTCTTCTTTTCTTTATCCGCCTTCTTTTCCCAACCATTTATTATTTTCTCTCCATCCACTTATTATTTTTTCTTTCTCTCTCTGTTTTTCATTGTTTTCTGTTACTATTCCCTCTGTTGAACATACACGTCACCACGCTCTCTATTCCTAACCGGAAGTCCCTCTATAGTTTATTATTTATTTAGCTATTATTATAGCTATTATTACTTTT